GTTATTTTAAATTAAAGGTTTGATTTCGTTAGGAATATTCTTGAAATGTCAGCCTTCATCTCACCTGCCCATCACAGATGGTTCACAGCCCTGTCTCATTCCCACAAGCAGAGCCCAACCTCACCAGCCAGCAGAAGAAAACAGTGCTCTTTCTTGTATCACATGCCCTAAGGCAGTGAAAATGAATCATGCCTTTATATCAGTGTCTTACAATGCATTCTGACTCACCCCTGTACTTCTCTTGTAAGTCCATGGAGCTGTACTCTGTGGCAATTATTCACTTACATGCTCTGCTATGAGTAAGAAGCAGAAGGAAGGCTCTTAACCATCTTCATATTACCAGACCTTAATACAGAACCTGAAACAATGTAGTCACACTCTAAATGTTCATTGAACAATATAATGGCAACTGCTTACATCTGCTTAACAATTTAGTAATTCATTCATTTATTCATTTGTTTATTCAAATATGCATCCCCTGAGTGCTCTAGTATTGGGATGACTACAGGGATTATGGCACAACCCTACTCTTGAGAAGCATGTAAAATCTTTCATTGAGACAGTTTAAAAAGCAATGTCAGTAGAGTGTAAAAAGTGTTGTGACAATAAAAGTGCAAGGGGGTCTATGTGGGAGGACACAGACAGGTATCTGGTTCACTGTTAGGGACAAGGAAGCCTTATCTGAGGAAGTCATAACTGGTCTAAGACACAAAAGACTGGAAGGAAAGGAAAAAGGAAAAGAAAGGAAAGGAAAGGAAAAGTGCGTAGTGATTAACAGGTGGCAAGATAGTGAAAAAGACATTACAGGTGTTACAGGTAAAGGTGGAAAGGCAAGAGTACAACATAGGAACTGTCTGGCCTTCCATTTTCTTTCTTTTTTTTTTAAATTTATTTGTTTAACGTTAGGTGCATACTATATCTGGCATTTCTCCTCATGTTATCCCTCCCTACCCTCCCTCCCTACTCCACCTCCCCGCTGTCTCTCCCCTACCTCCCCCAACTGTCCCCTGTGTGTGATGCTTCTCTCCCTGAGTCCATGTCTCGTCCATTTTCAAAATGACTATCACTCCCATGAGCTCATTTGACCCTCATGGTCACTCTCTGGGATAGACAGTGTTTTTTGAGGGGAGGGGTAAGTTAATTGTTGTGTCTACTTTACAAGTGAGGAAAGAAAGACCCAGACTCAGAGAGCTTGAATAACTAGTTCAGGTCACACTTGCCGGGATCTTCTGGCTCCAATCTCTGTGCTCACTCTACCATATCACAGTGAAAATCATTTAGGCCTTACTTGATTCCTGAGGTCTATGATTTCTGAGTGAGCCAGGGCTTCAGGCTGGCCCCTGGGCTTGAAGGCCATGCTGTCTCCGTGCTTGGGATAGTGGTGACCTCGCTCAGCTCTGTGGCCTCTGGCCTTTGCCTAAGCACACAGATGTCCAGAGGCTTTAACTTCAAAGACATGCCAAGCCAACCCCTAGAGGCTCCAGCAACCTGTGGCTTCTTCTGGAATCCACACTCTTTGTGCCAGCAACTTCAACTGCCAAGTGAGAAACAACTTGCTCCTGAGCCTGTGCTAAGGCACTTTCAATAAAGGCCCTTGGGAAACAAGAATTGTTTTGGGATCAAGTTGTCACCTATGCTGAGCTGCCCCATCAGGACAGCTCTAAATGGATACCAGATTGCATCAAAGGCACAGTCCTTCTGGGACAGGGATGGTCACCAGAATTTCAGTTCTACCTCCTCTCTCACCTCCTGCATGCAGCCAGCCCCACATCCAGAGAACTTGCTTCTGAAATTCCTGTAGAGTCTATAACCTGCCATTCATAACTTCCGTGTGCTCAAAGCACGCCCAACCAACTCCACTCACAACATGGCATACACTGTTCTAATTGCTCTATGTTGACTAACCTGTTTAATTTCCACAACAACCCTTTAAAGTAGGTAATATTGCTATTCTCATTTTACTGATCAGAAAACTATATCAGAGAAAGGTTAGGCAGTCTTCCAAATATTGAACAGCTTAATGCATGAAATGGTTGGGTTATGAACCCAAGCAGCCTGACTCCAGAACACATACTTTTAACAGCTATGCTATAAGTCAGGTCATAGATGGAGCAGCTGAAAGAAAGGGAGATGGAGCCTGCAGATAGACTCTCATATACCTCCCTGTGTGCTCTCACACATCACCTCTGCCTATGATGCCCTTCCTCACTCTGTTATCTTTCCATTCTCTCCATCCTGTTCACAAAACTAAATTCAACCTATTTATATCGCAACAAGTAAGTGTGATCTCCCGGTTGGGAGGTTTCTTCTACATCCCAACAGACACCAAATCAGGCTGAATTCATTACTCTTTAATCACTGTCCCTAAAGCTATATAGTAATGATGTTGTTATGAGCCTGACCCCTCATACCCCCCAAAAGGCGCTACTTTCTTTGAGAGTAAGGACTCCTGCATTTTGTACCCCTTCTACAGAGCACAAAGCTTGGCATATGCTGAGAACCTCACAAATGGTTGAGTTGATCAAACAGAGAAACATGCAAAGGCTGCCAGTGAAAGAGGGTTTACGTTTGTACCTTCACCAAAGCAGTGAGAAAAACAACAGATGGAAGCTGCCCCCAGCCATCATTAACTTAATAGAAGTGAAATCTAAAGGTAGAGTAAGCCAGCAGGAGGTGCTGAGTCCCTCATCACTGACAATCTTCAAGTAGGTCTGGGCAGCACATAAAGGACAGGTTACGAAGGGGATTCAGGTTCAGCTGGGAGCTAGATAAGGTTCTGAACGGAGACTGTGATTTTCACTGCCAAGGCCCCAGGAAGCTTGCCTGGACCAGTACAATAGTGTCCTAACTAGATTCACTGCCAAATCTGTTTCCGTGTGAATGCCAATTCATACACACACACATATATACATACATATACACATACACAGGCACACACATACACATATACATGCACACATAAACACACAGGTACACATATGTGCACACAGATACACACACATATATAGACACAGAAACGCACACAGGCACACACATACATACACATATACATACACACACATGTGCCTGACACTTTCACTCTTTTAGGAAAATCTCCCAAGCTCCCTCTTGCCCATAGCAGGTTTTCTCAAAACTGTTCTGTGTTTGGTCTTCTCTGTAGTGTAACTTACTGACCTCCCTGTGGAGTAGAAAGATGGGGCTGAGAAGACTCAATCAAAAGGTTGCTCTAAACCCTTCCCTGTGTGACTGCAAAAGTAACCTTACCTCTTGTATTTATGTTAAATATTGGGACTCTACGGGAAATTTTAGTTAGGGAAAAAATAGCTTTGTTGACTGAAAAAAGAAGTCTCAAAACCGCTAGGCTCTTGCATGAATCTAAATTATTGGGTACTCAAGACCCCACCACTACAGCCCAACATAGCCTTTCCTGGCTCTATACTTTGTGCCATGTTGGGTTTCTTACTTTTGCCCCAAAATGCTACTGAGGTTCATATTTCTGTGTTTCTGGATATGCTGGAGGTGGCAGGCGTCCCTCCTTCAATCATTTTCTCTTTTCAATGAAATATTCTTTCTTTAATGGCTCCATTCATTTGTCATCTCCTCTACAAAGACTCCTACATGACTTGCAGTGATGTAGGTACTTAACACAGGTTTAGCACGTGCTGACTTAGGCATCTTTTTCCAAAAACCATGGGCTCTTCATACCTCCAGTCCCTCTCGCATCTGATTACACACAGTAGGGGCTTCATAAATGCTTATAAAGTTGATGACTATGCCTGAAGAAAGGTGAGGGATTACACGAAGTTATAAGAAAATCTCAGGGTAACTGTTCAAAAGCAAAAATAAAATAATAACATTTAATAATAAAAGTGCCTGCTCAGGGCCTGCAGCCCAACTCTAGTTTTGCTCCAAACGTTGATGGCCTTGAACTTTCTTGTGCAAAATCCAGGACAGGGTCCAAAGGAGAGAACAGTAGGACCTGAGAAGCAGTTTCAGGTGGGGCTGTTTTCCAGAGCCTGCAATTCTACCCTATTCCTGCATGTTTGTACCATGACCTAAATCATGCATTCTCCCTGGCTGTGTGCAGAATTAAAGGAAGTGAGAAAATATATAGCCCTGTGAGTAAAGGAAGACTGCCAGGGAAATGATAAAAGATTCCAAACTGAGCCTCTTCCAACTCAATGAGGCTCAGGTTGGAATCTTTGGAAACATAGTATCCAAGTGTTGCCATACCTGGACCAAAGGCATTGGTGCCAGTTCTCACCAGGTGAAAAATACCCACAAATCTCAAGAAGAAAATGATGTCAGTTCTTCCAACTCTTCCAAGAATAAACCAGGCCCTTGAGCTGTATTTACTCTGTGAAACATGTACTTGTCTTAAGGGATTACCCGGAAAAGCTTAATTTCATTTCCACTCAGGAAGAATGTTTTCATTGTGAAAATTCAACAAGCAGTAAAGAAATTGTGACAGTGTGTGTGTTTGCAGAGGTCAAGGAGAAAGTTTTGGCTTCATCTTTCCCAAATTGTTTTGCCATATCCAAATTTCTAGAAGCTAATATTTTTGTAGCACCAAAGTTCTAAGAGTTATTAACACCAGGAACTTTAATTTACAAAGGCCAAATCTCAAGGAACTCAAAAGAGCTCACCTTCCCCCACAGTGGTTCAAAGACAAGACTAATGAGAGGAGTTCTAATCCGTTCAAAGCTCTAGTAGCCAGCCTCCAATATGGTGCCACATGATCCCTATTTTCTGGTATTTCATCACTTTGAGTAGTCCCTTCCCCCGTCAATCAGGATTGATCTGTGTGACAAAAAACAATTTAGTCTCCTCCACACTAAGTTAGGATTTTCAGAAGTTATGTTATCAGAGGGATCGCAATTTCTACCTTGTTCTCTTAGATTACTCAGTCTAGGTAGATCCAGTCACCATGCTGCAAGTCAATGATGAACACTGTGGAGAGACCCATGTAGAAAGCAACTGAAGACTGTTATCGTCCACAGGCAGCATCAGATTACCAGCCACGGGAGTGTGCCATCTTGTAAGCAGATCCTCCGACCCCAGTCAAGCCTTCAGATGACTGCAGCCCAGGCTTACTTCTGACTCAGGCTCATGTGAGACTCCAAGAGCTGCCCAGACAAGTTGCTGCCAAATTCCTGGCCCACAGAAACTGTGAGCATTAATTAATGTTTACTGTTAAGCCCCTAAGTTTTGGGGTAATTGGCTCCACAGCAATCAGTAATACACAAAGCATGAAGGTATTCATTTGTTGTTGACTAAACATTTTTTTCAGTATCTGCTCTGTACCAGGAGCCTGACTGATCCTACCATGAACTCTGACAGAGGGAGCATAAGAGGAAAGAATCAGGGCTTGGGGTGACAACAGGTTACTTATTACCTTTTCTTGCAATCTGACTGGTCCTTAGGTTCACGATGGGCAGAGACTTGAGCTTTATTTTCACCAACAACTGAATTTCCTCCTTGGGTATCTGTATTAGCTACAAGTGACAGATACCCTGTTTTGGTTTTTTAAAAGGGGGTTTATCAGCTTATGTAAGTAGACAGTACAGATACTGTTTAAGTGATTTACATGTCTTACTTCTTGTAATTCCCAAACAACTTCATAAGGGAAGTACTCACATGAGCCCCACTTCATAGAATGGGAAAACTGGGGCACAGAAAAGTAAAATACTGGTTGAATTTAGTGCTCAAATGACATCTTTCATAACCTCTTTCTCCAGCTCTTGGCTCTGTTTTTTCTTATTGGTTTCAGATTCAGACAGATTTTCCCTAAGTGGTGGCAGGTAACACCCCAGCAGCTCGAACTTACCGGCTTAGTACTCACCAGAGAGAAAGTACATTTCCTTCCCAGTAGTTTCTGAAAATGTCCCAGGACTGGCATTATTGGCTCTGATTATCCCAGTTTGCTCCCTGGTCTCCTGTGTCCTAAGTTGTGGCCACACTTATGTCACTCACCCAAGAGTGAGGTGATGGAGTAACTTTACCTGAACTTCACATATTCAGAGCAGGGGAGGGGTAGCTTTCCTGAAGGAAAATCCAGATCTCATTGCCATGGTAAAGGGAGGTGAATGCTGTTGGCAGGCAAAAATAATTGATGTTCACCAGAGCACCCTTCTCACTTTGTTGACTGGAGTATAGGGTGCATAGTGGGAGAGGGTAGGAAAGAAAACTAGTAAAGTCAGTTTGGATCAGATAAAGCCATGTGTTTATTCCTTCATTCCCCAAATGTTTATAAATAAGCTTTTGCCAAACTTTAGGAGTAAATACAGCAGTGGACTGGAGTTGGGTTGTATTTACTGTGAGAGCCAATCATTAACATTTCAGAAATTTTGCAGGCTAGTACCAAACATAGCTGTTTCCTGTACTTTGAGAGGCCGAGGTTGGTAGATTGCTTGAGCTTAGGAATTCCAGACCAGCCTAGACAGCATAAGAAAATCAGGGATGGATTTATTTTTCTATTGATGAAAGAAAGTGATGGAAAAAGTTGATGATGCAAATGTATCCATACATTACATTGTAAATAGCACAAAATATTGAACAAATATTCCTCTGGTATTTGTAAATGTCTGATTCAGCAAAGATGACTCACATCTTTGATGGCAAGTGAAGTTTCAGGGTTTCCTCTTTATCTTACATGCTAAAAGAAAATACCAACTAACACTTACATTGGAACTACACATGTTCATCAATTGCAACTATAGATTGGCAACAAACACAGGATTTGAGCAAGAATTAACAAAAGCATTCTGTAAGAATCAGTTGACTAAAGGAAGTTTACAAGAGTATTGTATGTTTTTATTATTTGTAAAGAGTGTGCTACACATCTGTTATACTAATAAACTTTATAATTAAATAATGTATGCATATGCATGCATAAATTCCTTGCCCTTCCTCCTCCTCCAACACACAGATTATTCAGCATTTACCAGGGTGTTACTTTATAAAAGAGTGAATATGCAGTATTATATCAATCTAATAATTTTTAGACTATTTTGTAGTCAATGGGAGCCATTGGGGTTTTTTGAGCAGAGGCATGGCACAATTAGATTAACATTTTAGAAACTTTTAGCAGTGATATGGAGGATAGATTGAAGATAAAGTGGTTAGGGAGGTCTCTTAGAAAGTCCATTCAAATTCAAATGCAATTAATGATATCCCTCAGCTAAGTGCCAGACATTATGCTAAGAAATTTCATAGGCTATTTCTTTTACTCCTTATAGCAACTCTATTGAGGTAGATATCATCACAACAAAGGCAATGAGGCTAACCAGAAAGATACAGATTTAAGAAGGAAATAGACTGACTAAGCATTATAGACTTATTTGACTGTCTGGCAACCAGTCTCTCTAGCGTCTTTTGAAAAGTCACCCCTCCCATTGTACCTATCTGCCCTCGCCACCCAAGGAATAAACACATCAACCAGACTGAGCCAAACAGCCTCCCTTCCCTTGTTTGAAAATTAAGGAATGAGGAAATGGGTGGCAGGCATGTATTCCAGAGAAAGTACTTAGCATAGCTGGCTAAATTGTTAGTTCTGCCTGCACCCGGAACAGCATTGGTTTCCGTACTATTTCTAAACCTAGTTTCTAGCCTCCAATAAATTCTCTTTTTACTGAAGTTTCCCAGAATTGGCTTCTACTGTTTGCAACCAAAAAAACTCCCACCACTACTATGCCTAATTAGAAGAGAAGGTGCAGGACTGGGTGATGTTTACAGCTTAATGTTTCAGAAAGAAGATAGTAAATAGTCCCAATTTTGTAATGCCATGGACACAAGTGACTACAATTTGTTCTATAGGTCTCTTTTGCTCTGAAGAACAATCTCTATTTTAACATTTGTATACGGTGGGTTTCCTGAGCTCACATAAAAGGGAACCTCAGCTCCTTTATTTCTATCAGTTTCCCCACCAGCTGCACTGAGGTGCATATTAATGATGGCTTGGCAGACTCTGGTCTGTGAGGCTCAGAAGCATGAAAGACACACCTATGAGTGTGTGATCTGTGCTATCAAAGGCCATAGGAACATCAGTGGGAAGGAAAATTGACACAGCGACAGAATCCGCCCCTTATCAAACAGAAGGTCTTGACAAGTCCTCATTAGAGAGGTCTCTGTGTTTCGAACTGATTGAAATGTCTCAGTCTGCAAGGATCCCAAAGCAAAGGTCAAAGTGGCCTTGCAATTGGGCCTTCCAGCTTCTCGTTCTGTGGAAGGGATGAAGAGAGGCCTTAAAATCAGTCAGGACCAGACCCTGGGCTAGCAGGAGTGCTTAATCAGCTGCCCTAGGTCTCAGACAAGAAAATTCTGACTGTTGCCAAGGAGGTATTAATGACGGATGCCATAAAAGGCAGTGACCTCATAGCTCTCAACTTCTCTGTCAAACCCCTAGCTGGCAACAGATCAAGGAGGCAGGTTGCCACACTGATCACATCTGGCTGCGTGTATAAGAAAGATCAAAGTGGCAGGCCTGTAAGTCCAAAAGAGGCCCAGTTGCCAGTTTCCATCTCACCAGCCCACTGCCTGGCACCTGGGGGATGCTCCATACGAGTTTGTGGGTAAGAGGCGAGCAGTGGAAGAAAGAAAGGATCTGCTGCTGCTCTGAGCCTGGGGGAAAATGTCTTTCTCATCATTAACTCCTGGGGCTTTGGTCCAGATGGGAAGAATCACCTCCTGTTCCACTCCTGCCTCCTCACTCCCCAAATCCTAAGCAAGATTCAGATTCTTAAGAAGGCAGATGGAGGCCTGGGACTCTTTTGACAACACTTCTTTTTATTCATCCTGGGGACCGCTCGGAAGATAAGCATAGGAAAGCTCCAGCCTGGAACCCCTGCCATAGCTAGTCCAGCTTTGCCTGTAACAGAAGCTCCTTCAGGCTTTAGTCTTTTCATTTGTTGAAAGAAAGCATGAGCCAAATTATTCTAAGGGGTCCTGTCCAACAATAATCTTCCATGTGTTGGGCTAACAGAATCGTGTCTGTCACTGCAGAGTGTATCTTTACTTAAAACACAGATTCCCCAAATAGGGTTGCAGGCCTTCTCCTGTTGACAACGGTCTTTCATGCTGTTACCATTATAACCTTCCGCTGACATTATCAAAGTCCAGAAAGCAAAAGCTTGATGCCAGAGATAACAAGGCAAAAGAACCCACCCCACAAGGCCCGAGTCACGGTCATGCACTGACAGCCACCCCAGCCACCGAGGCCAGGAATACAGCCTCTCAGTTAAGCCATTTCCTGGAGCGAAAACCAGCATTTTTCCACAGAGCCAACCATTCAAAGCTGCCCTTTCTGCCCTTTCAAATTTAATTTGTTTCAAATCTTGTAGGAGCCACAGAATTATTTCAGGATTGGAGTCAAGTGAAAACAGGTGTGCCACTCTTTCATCCATACCCTCTCCTCTTCAAAGGGGCCTGATTAGCCACCAGATTAATCGAGCTGGCCAATGGGGAGAGGAGTCCTGCAGCTTGCCTGAGCACCAGTCACTGAGATGCTGACCCAGAGTCTGGGGGTCCCAGTATAGGACCCCTGACCTGGCTGACCTTCTCGTGCCCTATCCAAGTGCCCATGCAGTGACAGGACTTGGCTATGGCCTCATCTGCCCTTTGCCAATATCTTTCTCTGCCCTTGTACAGGCCATTCTGGCCTTGAAAGCCAAGGCATGGTGGTCCTGCCTTCCAAGATAAACCAGAGTTCTGTTCTTGGCTATCCCAGCATTTACTTTGGCAGTTCCATTTAGGCTGACCTTCCTGATGTGTCAATATTTAGGGGGCTATGCATGGAAAACATTTGCAAAGTTTAAAATGAAATAGAAAAGTCTTATTCAAAGACAAAAAATGAAGTTCAACAAAAAGTCAAACCAAAGGGAAAAATTATTTTCACTGTGCATTCCTCGGAAGGGGAGCTGTTAACACTCAGGGCCACTGTAAAGGGAGATTTTTGCCCCAGATCCTGCTGGAGAGGGCGGCAGGGCCCACACCTGGGATGGCTTTTCTCTTCTCTCTGTACAAACCCGTTTGGTTTCTTCATTTCTTCTCATGGCTAAGTACCATCTTGATGCTACCAACTCCCAAGCTTAAATCTCTAACCCTTGCCTCTCACTTGATTTCAGGCTTATATATTAAGTATTGATTAGATATCTCTTCTCAGCATCTGAAAT